TGTACAGTACGACCATTATGCTGCAACTATACGGTTGGGAACAGGCACTGTGTGAGGAAAATATCTTCAATTTGATTCCAGTCCTATGGAAATTTCTCTTGAAAGTTTCTCTTATTATATGGCTTAATATTTGATTTACGGACGTACGTACAGTTGCAACTTATCAACGTGATATTGGATTCCAAGCACCAACTTTCATATGAATCATCATTCATATTCACATGAATGGAATTACTTCAGCACGAGTGTTCACGAGTCGTCCAGCTTTATACTCACTGCGCGAGGATGATTTGGATTACGATGTGACGAACTGTTTTCACCGATTGCTGGCAGTTTTCGCTGAAGCGTTGGCTGCCGTTCGAGTGAAATACAACATTGAACACCGCAATAATAAGGTGTGGTCGTGATTCATTCCACTGCATATCATCCGCTTTTGTTCAGTCGAAATAAAATTTCCTGTCCGAATAACGAAATTTCTGATCAGCAACGAAAATAATTCTGCAAAAAACAAAAATAATTGCTATCAGATACTAACAACATTCATGATAACAACGCTGATGAATTGAGGGAAACAAGTGGAAATAATAATACTGATAACATTTTCGTCAATACTTTCCAAAAAAAGAGCATTCATCTCCGATCACGACACGAGTATTCATTGATGATGTTATCACATGTTTATTTGATAATGTCATCCATTCTTCTAGGAATGTTGTGATAATGAACTAAATACAATATGATGTTTAAGGGACTCGCGATGCTGGGAATTCAAGATTTCACATTCACCAATCTGTGGCAAAATCATGCGTTCAATTTCGTCGAGGAGATTGATTATCTCACCTTCCCATCACCAAGTATGATTATATTCGGTACTTCTGATCGAACGCAATTGATATCAAGCCATCTTTACTCACAAAAGTGTGCTATATTAGGGTGTTATAATCGATAAAATGTGATTATAATTCTGGCCTGAACATTACGAAATCCAATAAATCATATATTTTGCAGTGTCAACAGATGTAGTGTACATTGGATCACACTGTCCCATAGCTAAGCGCTTGCCTGACGATCTACGAGAATTCACTGAGGATGCAAGTTCGAAAGGAACAATTTATATCGCCTTTGGTACAGCTGTGCAATGGCATTCAGCACCTGAATATGTCACGAATGCATTCAGATATATGATTGAAAACTTGCGGGATTATAGGTATCAATCAAATTGTCTCAAATTGTTGCTAAAAGCTAGAATCATTCTTGAAAAAATCATCCTGTGCAAATGGCTTCCATTTGATTTATCACATCATCCCTGTAGAAAAAAGCCCTGATCTTGTTCTTATAAAATTATGGCTGATAGAACACAATTCCACATGTGGGCTAACACACGGATGTGTTCAAACTTTTCCGTCATGTCCTTACACATATTAATTTTCATAGTGACATTAAATATAGTGAAGTTTTGAGAGCTTTGTTAGTAAATTTCATCTGATTCATACACTGATCGAAAAGGATCATTTTCCACTTCACCAATTTGATAATCCATTGCGGTATCGTTCATGATGACGAATTCAATCGTACGTTCGTAAAAGTTTGTAAAGGTATACAGCTGATTGCAATTTTCAGGATCCTTTTCGTTTATAATGGAAATTCATTCGGCGAACTCCCCGAGCATGTAAACGTCCTTAAATGGGCACCACAATTTGATGTATTATCGCATAATAAGACCATACTGTTCATAAGTCATGGTGGACTGAAAAGGTAAGAATTTGCAACTATTCAAATTATAACTCGAAATCTCACAAGTAATCAAACATCAGTTAATTGTTAACGATGGTGATAGAATGTGTATTCAGCGTCAAAGAAGCGATCTGCACATCAACGCCAGTTGTTTAT